CAAAAGCTGCAAATACAGTGTTTTCATGTTCTACTCTGCAATTATCTCCTAAAAATAACTTTGTGTTGTTCATGTTTGTTTTTTCCTGAATGCAGACATTGGGGATGTTGGAGGCGATGTGCAGCAATAAGCAGTACGCTGAGTTGGAGGACTCTGTGAATAAGGCAGTCCAGTTCATCCGCTACCCAGGACACTGTCTCAAAGATGCACCCCGACTTCTGGCCCTGCTTGCCAACCTCCTGTACCCTGACCTCAAATACCTGCACATTATCCGTTGAAACTGACTTGAACAGACACGTATGCTGGAGATTGAGAGGATGTTACCTTTCTGTGGCAAATACAGTGACAGTAAACGTCTGCTCTGCACAGACGCAAATCTTGTTGGAGCACAAAGTTTCCAAGTAGTTGCACTGGTACTGAAATGCTTTTATTATTTTATCAACAAGAGCAACTTCACAGTGGGCTCTGAGACAGAAACTGACTGTTCATCAAAGCTTGCTGTGCATTTATTTAAAAAAAACTTCTGTGCTCCGTCAATCAGGAGCACAAGAAATGTCTTGTGCTGTGCTCTGACTATTTCTCACACGTGTGTCTTTTCTTCCCTCATGTTCATGCTTTGATGCTTTTTATACAAGTTGTTGGTTTTCAACACCAATGTTGCACATATTTATTGAAGCAGAATTCCAGAATCAGAGTTCCGCTCCGTGCTTCAAGTGTCAATTTCCCACCTGTACGTGGAATCTCACAGAAAAAAGTTGAAGGGTCCACAAATTATTTGGAGGAAGTTGACGGACAGATCTAATAGACTTATAACTTTAGTAGAACCTTCTTAAAATGGGGAGGGGAGGAATACCGGTGGGGGGAGCTGGTTGACTAGGTTCATATGACTGAGCTACAATCTGAAACATCTCAATTCTGAGTACTGTATACAGATGAGAACAGTGGGTGCCTGTATGAAGTGAAGTGATGTTTAGTTACAGAACATTTGCCAGTATTATGTTCATGTTCAGCCATTAGTGCTTTGCTTGTTTCTGCCAAAGACATGTTGTTTTCATCTGCTCAGATACTTAAACCTTCTTGACCATGTGTTCTGTTTGTGTCACCTGTGTCTGTAAGGTTCAGAAAGCACATGCACTCGAAAATACTTAGTGTGCCACACCACTCGGCTTCCTTATAAAGTAATATGTGCTCTGTGATACAAATGACTAATTCCAATGGAATTAGTAAATATCTATATCTATACCTGGACTTATATAGACCCATAGTGGCATTTGAGGATAAAGGCAGAGTGTAATCTAGATTTAGCCGACAGTACATCCAAGATTTCATATTTTAATTACCCATGTCATTTTACCTCCTCTGTTGCTCTATGCCGTCTCAATAATAACTCTGCTGCACCTCTGCAACCTGAAGCTCGCCTTATTGCCTGTGTTATTTGGTGACTGTGAATGTCAGAGGCGTTTCTTTTACATGAGTCAGTGAACTGGAATGGGTCTGTAGGGGCTGCACAAAAGAAAAACAACTGTTCAGTAAAAGAGAAACTCAGCGTCTCACAGCTGGTATTTAACAATGCAGCTCTGTGATCTTGGACCATATGTTACACATGGAGAAGCCTCTCAGAGCAGGAGGGCTGATCTAAAACACCCTGGACAGGTCACATGGGCAGACACCACAAGACGCAGACGCTGAGACGTGAGGAACCAGAGCCAGACAGCAATTGGGGACACAGTGCACTGAAATCAGCATTCTCACTGCATAATGCTGCAGATGGTCAGATTGATTTAGAACGCTTCCTTGTGTGAGAAGCCTGTTATGACAAGTGTGTGCTAGAAGTGTTTTGACTGGCGTCTGCATCCTGTTCTCTGCATCTGTGCGAAGGTACATGTCCGCAGCCAGTACAGAAGCTTTTACAGATTGTTCAGGAGGAGGGCTGTAAAGTACGCTGTGTGTTTTTGTGTGCCTGTGTGTGTGTGCACATATACATCCAGCATCCTCATTTGACACCACCACGTCTGTCCTCTCTTCAGGCAACAGTGGTCTCTATGGTTACGGGAAGGGGAGAAGTGAGAGAGGAGGTGGAAAGGACGGGGTGTTTTGAGGCTGTGAGAGGGAGAGAAGAGGAGGGGTGGTAGGAGATGCTCACAGACACTTGATGCTGCCTCCTCTTCATGTTAAAAAAAACCCTAAAACCTGCGGTATGTTGTGTGAATCCGTCGTCTGTTGTCTCGCCGTTCAGTCGGCCTCCTGCTCTCCCGTCTCTCGGCTGAGGCGGTGCAGTACTCTCCAAGCCGTGGATATTCATGTGACAGTCTGCTCTCAGACTTAACCCTCAGTGAATATCTCTTTTTTTATCTCACACACACACACACACATGCACGCACACACGCTCAGAGGAGTTTTCCTGGCAGACACATCACTGTCTGGCACATTGCTGTGTCGCCATGGAAACGCAGCATCAGGTCAGGAGCAGTTGCTCCTAAGCTGATATCAGTGCACACTCAGCATCGGAGCAGCACGTGGCTCAGCGGTCATTAAATGCAGACATAAAACAGGTTGTGTGTACACCTCCAGGAATGTGATTACAATCTGTTTTATGCAAGAACCTCAGACAACAAGGGAGTAAGATCAGTTTACTGTGTAAGCTATGTGCTCACTGTGCACACATGCAGATTTCACATCTCTTCTGAACCGCTTGTTTCCATTGGTGCATTGTAGTCAATTTCCCCATGTTTCACCATCAGACACCAAACAGAGCGCCCGGCATGGATAATGCTCCACCGCTGACCAGTTGCTTTTCTGGGACAGCTGCACTGGCCCCAAGTCCCTCCCTGCTGCCAACACACAAATACACACACACTCAGCTGGGCATATAGGAATGTCTCTCTCCAGGTCTCCACCACAGATCTGCTAAACAGCGACTCCTCGGCACACTTGCATTGTTTCAAGCAAAGTACATGCACGTGCGTGAGAGTGAGTGTACATTTGCGTGTGTCAGACAGACTCCTCCATTGAGACACCCACTTTTTCTCTCACCTCCTCGCCTGTCCGGTGGGGAATGATGACTCAAGTTTAAATCAGTCTCTCTCTCTCTCTCTCTTGCATGAACCCAACAGAGCTGAAAAGCTTCTCCTGGTTGAGTGTACCTTCCTATGCACTTAACTGTAAAAGTCATCAATAGTGACTCAGAGCTCATTCTGTGCTTTAATATGTGAGATGTTTCTGGAGAGCTGGGCCGGCTGCTCGTTGAGCCGCTTTGGACGGAGAACAGTGGTGACGTCGGGGAGGAATTTTTGGCCTTCAGGATGTACCCAGTGTCTTCTCAGTCTGTTGCAAGAGGAGCCAACTCTCCCCCACAGTGAAGGACAGATTTTTAAGTTCATGTTGGCTTATCTCTGGATTGTGTAACTGATGATTCCAGGGCCAAGAGACTGGGGTTAGTTTGAAACTATACGTGGTTTCAAAGTGTATTAAAGTCAAATTAGGGATCGACAGGACTTAAGAATGAATATTTTGTCAAAGTGAGCAATTATTCCACTCTCATCATTTCAGTTGGTTCTAAAAGCTCCAGCCTCGCATGTCAGCCAATATTTTAGTTTGAAATGTTTTATTTTTCTATTCAAGGACACTATCTGCAGACATGGCAGGAGCCTTAAGGTGGATCCTGCTTCATTGCCTTAAAGGGTGTTACTGTGTTAACATATTCCTAAATGTATTTGTGTTTAATAACCTCATTCACATTAATACTAGGGTAGCTCTTTTATTACCTTTATTATGGAGGTTATGTTTTCACCACTACTGGTCTGTTGGTTTATTGATTCATTTATTAACAGGATTGCGCAAAAACTACTAGACAGACTTTCACTAAAACTTGGTGGAAAGGTGCAGTGTGGGTAATGGAAGAAACCATTCTTGGTGTGGATCTGGATCAGGGGGCGAATCAGATCTTTTTTATTCACTGTTTATAACATAGCGAGAACGAGTGTTTTACAACATTTGTCCTTGATTTCACAGAGAATAATTTATATATCTTGCTGTTTCATATAGGGCCTTAGGCGCTCTCTGAGTGACTTTAGTTTATTTACTACAAGGATTACGCAAAAAGCAAAAAAATCTTTTCACTTTTGATGAAATCAAACTTCATCGGGACTGATGTCTAAGAGTTTGTGAAATCTGGTGGGGCTTGATTGACTTTAAGGGGCCTGCTGAACCTTAGTGGAATGTGGTATGTGCTCTACTGTGTCATTTTCTATTTTTCTTTTTTGTAACTTTGGTTGTGTTTGGGGAATTGTTTCAAACTAAAGTGAGGACAAAAGTTCATGTTGGAATTTAGTTTATGTTTGACCTTTGGGGTTACCACTGGAATTTTAGTTGGGGTGAATTCTGGTATTAAGGTCAAGACATTAGATCAGTGTTGAGGGCTGGATGGGTTATTTTTGGCAGAGAGTGAGTAAGAAATGGTTGAAGCTGGTTTTATAGATCTGGTGATGAAAAAGCTGGTGTGAATAAATCTTTATTCTTTACTAAGACAAAAGATCAGAACTCTGTGTGTGATTGTGTGTGTGGAGTCCACACATGACTCAACAGTGTTTATACTCAACCCAGGCACGACTACACGATCACACACACACACACACATTTACAGTGTATATGCACACAGTTTTTTATCAGGTATTGTTAGCTTGACAGCCTCTCTCTCCTTCCCCACCTCTCTCTCCTTTCCCTACTCTCTCTCTCTCTCTCTCTCCAAATATGACTGTGTTTGTCTTCACAGTGGTCCCCCACACCTCTCTCAAGCCTCTCACCAGCAGTGAGTTAAAACAACGCCACTGGTCAGTTTCTCCTGTCAGACCTGGAGCCCAAATGTATCTCAGTGTGGGAGATGAGTGTGTTTGTGAACGGACCCTAAACAAAGAGAGAGGGGGGCGGTAGAGACACAGAGAGAGAGAGTTAAAGAGAAAGAGAGACACAGACAAAGAGAGAGACCAGACAGACAAGGAGAGGGAGAATAAGAGAGAGAGTGAGAGAGAGGGACAGAGAGACAGACACAGAGAAGGACAGAGGGACAGACAGAGAGAGAGAGAGAGACAGACACAGAGAGGGAGAGAGATACAGACAGGGAGAGAGAGAGGGCTTGGTTTGCTGCCCAGACTGCAAAGGATTTTTTGTCACTGACAGGACCAGGATCGGACAGAAACCAAAGCAGTGGCAGACTCGGTAAGATTTAAAAAATGCATTTTTAACCAGAATCAGTTTGAGTGGTGCAGAGGATTTACAGTGCAGAGAAGATCACAGGACAGATGATTGTACCGTCTCATCACTGAGAGAGACTTTTACATATTGATCATTTATTATGGCCGAATCAGAAGACGATTCACTTTTAAAACTTTTTTGAGGTTTCCTCTTTATTTATGTATTTATTTAATAATTGATCTATTTATCTATTCGTTTATGTATTATTGCTCGCTCAGGGACAGGGATGCAGGCTGCCCACCAGGTGTCTGAGGATAGTTTTTTATCTCTTTCGTTATTTCCAGTGAGTCGTACGTCAGACGCTCAGTATCGAGTCACCGGTTATTTCGGCGGCTGTGATCGTCCCTGCGTGCTGACGTCACGCTATAAGGAGCCAGCGGTGCCGGGGCGGCAGGCAGAGAAGTGGAGAGGAAAGAGGGAGAGAAAGAGAGAAAGAAGGGGAAAGAAGCCGGACCATGTTGCTGTGATATTCTCCATGTGTCTGCTCAACATTCTGGTAGGAGTGTCTTTACTTAATTTCACCTTTATTTCTCAGAATCTGCTCTTTATTTCGCATTTGCTCCGCAGCGTGATGAACGTGGGTCTCTGCCACCAGTGATTGGTTCTCAGTGAATGGACTGATGTCTAATTGTTCATGTTCATCAGGCGCTGTGACACAGTGCTTGTTGGAAATTAAATTAAATCACTAACTCGTTATATACAGTCTGTGGTTTGAATCGTGTGTTTATAGTTTGGGCTCTATAGGCTTCTGTAGTAGCTAAGCTGTGTATTGGTTTGTTTATTGCAGCCTATATAAAGATGTAGTAACAGAATAATAATGTGTTGTCAAAAATATAGATGTAAGAAGACTTTGCAATGTGTCGATAAAAATAAAATAAAAGGTAAGACTTAATTGTGGGAAATGTGTCTCAGACATCACACTGTCTGCGGTATAAGAAACACAACCAAATACATTCATCTGTCGTCTGCATATAGATCAACTGTACATACAGTCCGATATAAAACAGTGATCAGTGAGAAAGAGGAAGGTAAAGAAGAGTCTGAGAGGCTGTGTCTCTAATCATACATCACAGCAGTGGGCAGATCCATCACTATCATCTCCAATTAATCATTCTCAATTTATTTATAGGCTGTGGCACAAAATCACAAACATAAGTGTGCAACTGAAAACAGCTCAATTCTCCCACGTATTTTTGTCTCCACCTATCTGAGCTGATAGGGAGATGCCCTTTGTTAAAGCAGATGAAGGGGATTCCTCTGCACTCTACCTGACTCTACACCAGCTCAGCAACCACATCCCCATAGCAACAGTTAGTAAAACCAGCACTATATTTTCCTGTTTCCAACTATCACTGGATTCACAGTAAAAGCCCCTGCAGGAGTGCACTCGAGTGTACGCTGCACCTTTGCCAGGACTAATATAGTTTCTGGCTTTGAGCAGCATCCGCCTCAGAGGAGTAATTATAAGACCCTAACTCTTAACGCATCTCCTCTATTTCTCCAGTGACTGACCACGGCCGTGGCTAAGTAACTGCGGGGGGATCCCCGAGTCCCAGTCCCAAGAGTGTATGTTTGTGCGCAGCTATGGGGAAGGACTACTACAAGACCCTGGGCATCCCCAAGGGCTCCAACGAGGAGGAGATCAAGAAGGCCTACCGACGCATGGCACTGCGCTTCCATCCCGACAAGAACAAGGACGCCAACGCCGAGGAGAAGTTCAAGGAGATCGCGGAGGCCTACGAGGTACTCAGTGACCCCAAGAAGAGAGTCGTCTATGATCAACTGGGAGAAGAAGGTGAGTGAGGGGGGAATCAGTGTCTGGGTTTGATCATGTCTGTCTGTGTCGGTGAGAGAGTACAGGCAGAGCACTCTGTTAGTGAAGCCTTGTTAAGCAGGCGTTATGATGGATTAAGTTGTTATTGAAATAGCTCAGGAACAGACTCAGCATCTAATATCACAGTGGAGGACTGAGGTGTTATTACTTCAGCCAATAAAGTAATAACGCTGTGTCTCCTCCAGGATCTCTAGTTCGTGCATGATTGTCTATTGTTATTTTAATGTCACTTACAAACTGTCATACCTTATCACCTACCTCAACTGCTAGTGTAGTGTGTGTGTGTGTGTGTGTGGATTAAGATCATCATGTGGTTGAAAGAGGAATAGCAGTGACGACTGTAGTTTGTATTTGTGTGTTTTTTGAAAGTGTTTCTGTTGAACACAAAGCTGTGTGTGTGTTAGTGTAGTTTGTGTATTTATAAAGTCCTTCACTATCAGCGCTGTTAGAAGATCATGATGATGCTGTGGGATTTCTTCCTGCCCATGTGGGCTACACTCTTCTCTCTGCTGTTACCAGTAATGTGTGTTATTTCAGCCTATGTGTGTTTTTGTGCATGTGCACACAGGTTCTCACACTCTTCTCTCTCTTTTCACTCTCAGGTTTGAAGACAGGAGGCACTAGCTCCTCAGGTGCCCCCGGCAACTCAACACACCACTACACCTTCCACGGAGACCCCCACGCCACCTTTGCCTCCTTCTTCGGCGGCTCCAATCCCTTTGACATGTTTTTTGGCTCCAACCGCAGCCACAGTCGCTCCAACGGCTTCTCCTACCACAACCACAACGACCACAGCAACGACATGGAGCAGGACATGGACATGGATGAGGATGACCCCTTCACTCACTTTGGAAGACAGTTTGGCTTTCCAGGAGGGATGAACAACGGATTCCCTGGGGAGGGCCGCAGGAGGAGGGCCGCACCGTCAGAGTCCCTGGGCAACAGCAGAAAGCACCAGGACCCTCCAGTGGTCCACGAGCTGAAGGTCTCGCTGGAAGAGATCTTCCACGGCTGCACCAAGCGCATGAAGATCACCCGCCGCAGGTTGAACCCGGACGGCCGGAGCATGAGGACAGAGGACAAAATCCTTAACATCGTCATCAAGAAGGGCTGGAAGGAAGGGACCAAGATCACCTTCCCAAAAGAGGGGGACGAGACCCCCGAGAACATTCCTGCCGACATAGCCTTTGTGCTCAGAGACAAAGGTCACGTCCACTTCAAGAGAGATGGTTCCAATATCATTTATAACTGCAAGATCAGTTTAAAAGAGGTGTGTCTGCACTTTTTCACCTATCCTCCCTCTCTCCTCTCTTTTACATCTATCTTCTGTCCTCTCTCTTTATGATTCTGCATGTTGACGCGCAGGTAATGCTGCTGAGGTTGAGAGTTTGAATCCCAGTGGAGCAATCAAGGCAGAAATTGAATGCACTTACGGAGCTGCAAAGTTTTGAATGAATATCCAGAAATTTATACCAGCCACGAGGCGAGGGGATTTGACTGTAAATTAAGTGTAGGATTATGTCCGCAGGGTGCGTTGTCATATTAAAGATATTGAGTAGTGTGTGTGTGTGCGTGTGCGCACGTGTGTGCGTGTGTGTTTGTGTGTGTTGCTGGAGGGTAAGATCAGTGAGAGCAGAGTCTCTGTCATTGCGGTGCGAGGGAGGCAGCGGGAATGTGGTGTCCTCATGTGACCTGCTCAGAGCGGCCGTCGTCCTCACTTGTTCTGCACTGCTGTTTAAATTAAATATACATTAACCCACTGGCAGGCGACACACACTACAACACCACACACAGACATAGCCATGCATGCGAGCATTCACACCCTTGCATCTTCAAGCAAATTTGCAAACACCCTAGGTTAAAGATGGATTTTAGTGTGATGGTGGTGACAATCCAGGCTGCTATTAATGTGACTGGCAGGACATTTAATTAGCCGCTCCTACGAGGGCAACGGGTCCAGCACAGCTCTGCTTCGTCTGTGAATTACACAGGCTTTTAATGCCTCTAACAGGGCTGCCACTCACTGCTCTGCTCTTCACATGGTCGGCTTAATGGCAGGTGTTCTCAAAGAGTTGGAGGTGTCAGGGGAGTTGTTTGTTCGCAAATGAAGTTTTTTTCTCTATAAAAGCAGCCCCGACTGGGAAGTAGTGGGTGCCTCTGCACAGCACGTATGCAGACAGCCCAGTTAATGAGAGCGTGTTTGTTGAGTCACGTTAAGGAGGAGGTGGTGCTTGATCAATCCTGCACAATGATTAAGTTTGCACTGTAGAACTCCCACAGATAAAACCCTGCGGTCTGAGCAGCAGCCAGATAAGAGACTTAAGTCTGATGCAGCCAAAGACAGGATGGAGGAGAGAGGAGAAGTGAAGATGTGGATTGGGGAGGTGGGGCTGGGTATCCGGGGAATATTAGTGAAGTAGGTCAGATGATTCAGTATCCAAAGCAAATACGAGCTCATATTCCACTGCTCCGCTCCGCTCTGTCTCCCTCAAGATGAGATGCGAAATGCTGCAGTGAAGCACAGCACCGGCTACATGCTGCACACAGGACGACCCGCCACATGTAGTATGATCAGTCCTCCTGTAGATAATATGACAGCAAGATGATTATTTCCATTCTGAAGACTCCAGTTAATAACATCTCTACATATTGTTGTGGAGGTTTACTGGAAGCTGGTAAACGGGGAGCTCAGGCAGCAGCTGATGATCTTATGCAGAAGAGTTTAATGTAGACTCGATGTATTAAGGAGACCAGAAGATGGAACAATATATAAATGCTAATAGAGTAACATGAGCAGTTCTGAAGTAGCTCCCACAGCCTCCCCATATATCTCCTTCAGCCTGTGTCACCCATTCAAACAGCACATCCATGAAAGGATAGAATTTCTGTCACTCTCGATGTTACATGTAGGTGTTCACATCGTGTACACATTGTGTACTTGTGTGTAGCCATTGGTGTAATACGCAAAATAGTTTGCTCCTCTCTGTCTGGGGCTTCTGAATTGGGTAAGAAAGTCCTTCAACGTAGACACTACAATGTACTGCTTTATCTATAACCTGACCTTGGGTATTGCTGGGAGAAAAGGGAAAACGTGTGGAACTAGACAGGCCATATTCTCCTAATGTACAGATATAATGTGTGAGGATGGTCCAACAATTCCTCAACACATATATAGGAATTTGATCATATTTCACCTGCTGTGTGACTCGTCTGCTGTTTTGTTGCTCAGGTTTGTTTTCTGCCTGAAGCGTGCCACGATGAACTGCCTCATTTAGCTCCAGCCGACCTTGTTTGACCACTCTGTAAACTCCTGGGGAAGCGCTGCTAGAGGCAACTTCCATCTTCACCATGACAGCAGCCAGACACAGTTAGATAACTTAGTGAGACACATTGATTTCTTGGCCTTTACCTGGATATATATGGTGGCTCATTCTGGCATTAATGAGGACTCTGCAGTGCGCTGGTATCAACCATGGCAAGTGCTTTTCTAGCTGCTGTCACAGCTGCTCTCAGCAGCAAAATCCATGTCCAAGCACATGTAGGTGCTACTTGTAGCTGCTGGGCTCTAAAGACTAAGCTCCACCTCATTTATCATTTAGAAATATACTGTTTATGTGCAGTGGTCGTGTTGATTCCATCCAAGTAAAAGGCAGCATGTGCATTTTTAGCAGCTAATGTATTTGAATTCTGTCAATTAAAATAAATACTGCCACCTACATTCAAGACATGTATATACTACACAGTATAGTGAAGACACTTATAGTGCTTATGAATCGGTTATGTAATTGTAATTTCTTGCGTAATCACACAAACAAAAACCTGAACTATTTTCCTGGATGGATGAATGGTTGGCTGGATGGAGGGATGGACGGACAAATGGACGGACAGCATTCTTCCAAAGTAAAATCACAGTGTATGTGTGTGTTTGTCTGAGCTGTGGCTTATGCAATCAGTTGGCCCGACGATCAGCTGGCAGTGTGTGTCGAGCATCATAGCAACCCGTCTGTGTGTGTGTAAGACTCGAGTTAGTGAATGGAAGTGTTCATAACAAGAGGATGAGCCACCGGCCTCCATCACAGTCACAGGCTACATCACCCCGCGCTGTACGTATAGTGGGTAAACGGAGGATGATGTCATGGCTGGAAAACTCTGAAGCAGCTGCTCTGCTCGACTGGACTTCAACCGTCCACATGTCCGTCCCTGTTTGTTAAAAAACCCACCAGACGAGACGAGAAAATCCCCCAACTGTCTACAACCTTGTCCATGTTATGACATAGACTGGGGTCTTAGAGGTTAAGTACGTGTCAATGCAGTCAAAATGACTATTTACATCACGAGCTGCCGGTTGACTTGAATGAATGACGGTAGAAGTTACCATCGTTTCGGAAAATTCCAAGAGGGATATTTCAAGCTCCACTAAAACCTGTGAAACATTTAGCTTAGCATGTTTCCAGCAAGAATTCCTTCCTAAATATAGAATATTCTAATTTTAACCAGCCGACCACCAGCCTTTTGAGTTCCAACTTTTCATATCCGTGACATTATGCAATTTCTCCACCCATGAAGAAATATTGTTTGTCAGGTGAGCTTCAGCTCTATATTTAAACTTAAGATGTTTTCAAATCTTAAGCAATGCAATCAGTTTTGTGGTAGCAACAAATACACTAACGTATCGATACTCATACTGCTAAAAGAACGAATTCTATCAACAACAGGTTTTTCATCTAGCACCATCATAGGTCAAGATTTAAACAGTCCGTTATGTTTAACTTATGTGGATGTCCTTTGGTGTGTGACCTAATACCTTTAAAAAAAATCAGCTTCAGCTAAACCTTGTTTTCACTGCTAATTTAGCATGTTAACAAGTAGCTACAGTATATATCACAATCATTTAAAGTACTTTTTGGGGTCACTTTTGTAGAGTAAGAGGGGAGTAATCCTCTCTTAGTAAAAGTAGTAAAAGTAATCAGACAGACTCATAAACTACTAAAACTACTATTACTAACTAACGACCTAAAGTCTTTCTCTCCTGGTGAATTGTAGGTCTTCCACGATGGCTCTCCATCTCTCTCCACACCTTCATGTTATTTATTCACTGACCCTATTCTGTGTGTGGTAAACCATTTTGTAACAGTTGCTTAGAAATGCATTTTATAAGGAAGGTTTGCTATTCATCTGGATTTCCATTCACAGATTTGTGGATTTAAACAGTTAGCTCTGTTCAGCGCAAATCTGGTGAGTGATGCTCCCTGGATGGAAAAGCCTGCGAAGTCGTGATAACCACAGGTCTCAGTGTTTAGTTTAGCACTTACCCTACTGTGTGTGTGTGTGTGTGTGTGTGTGTGTGTGTGTGTGTTCTCTTTCGTCAACCTGACAGCCCATCTGACAAGCCCTCCAACTATTTACGAGCTCAGCCGATTCCTGCCTCACTTCATTAGCCACGAGCTATTCTATGAGATGGTTGCTAAAATTAGTACCGTGTGCAATTTCTAGCCCCCTCCAACACTTACAAACACACAGCCCCATCCTACGCACACACACACACACACACACACAACCCCCACCTACACACACAGACACACAAACCGGAAAACCTCTCCACAGCCAAGTCACGTTTTTCCCTAATATTCTGGTTATGTAGACCCCACGGAACTGTTGTTAAACTATTTGTAAGGAAGACGTACCCACTGACGTACACACATGATGAACACACACTGAGAACATGAGGATGACGTACTGAGGGATAAGAAACCAGTTTTTAGTTCATGGAAATATTAAGTCACTGGGATATTTATGGATTTGGCGTTTCATTCCTACTAAAGATATTAACCCTCTTAATCCCCTCTTCCTCTCCTCTCCAGGCATTGTGTGGTTGCACGGTGAGCATCCCCACGCTGGAAAACCGCATCATCTCCCTTCCCTGTCACGACATCATCAAGCCGGGTACGGTGAAGCGACTCAGAGGGGAAGGCTTGCCTTTGCCCAAGAACCCGTTACATCGTGGTGACCTCATTGTGGAGTTTTCAGTCCGTTTTCCTGACAGGATCCCCCCCCAGTCCAGAGAGATCATCAGACAACACCTCCCCCAGTCATAGGAGGACTCACCTCAGACCTCTCCACCACCACACACTCCAGCCTAAACCCAGAAAAACAACCCTTCATCCTGTCGTCCCTTAAATTTGGACCCTTATTTTAAGTCCACCTTCACATGTCTTGTGTTGACGCACACAGCATTAAAGAGACGCTGTGGTTTGTAGGGACTTCACAGTGGGAGGATGAAGGAAGGATGCCAACACGGATGGCAGTATCAGGGTGTAGTTATTTGTTTTGTCTTTTGGCCCAAGCACACACACAAACAGCGGTGGAGCAGTGCTGAGGGACGGGCTCAGCACAATCCAGGCTTTTACCGAAACTTCTTTTCACAGTTTTTTACACATCAATCAGTGGTTTTATAAGCCGACCAACTCTCTGATCCTTTTGTGATAGGATGAAGTGTGAGATATTTTTTAAGAGACACATTTTTTCAGGATTTTCTTTTTTTTCCAAAGGAGGTTTCAAATTGAATTATTTATTTTTACCTTGAGTGTACCAGCAGCATTCAGCGTGTTCAATGCCATCCCCAGTTTAAACATAACTCTCCCGCTGCCACTCGCTTTTCTCATGCTTTCTAATGAAGCATCGTGCTGGAAGTCAGTTGTGTTCATTACTCCAAATAACACTAGCATGTCTCAGCTGCATTGAGAAAATCTGGGAGTGACAATCACATTCTGTAACAGCAGTATAAGCTTGGATAATACAGTCTGCACATAATATGGGTGCTTCCCCTTCTATGGCCTGGCTCCATATCTGAGGAACATTTAGGTGCCTTAGCCCTGTGTCATACCACACACACATGCACACAGGCCACACTGCAGAACGACAGTGTATTTCAACCAGCCATGTTAAGTGCACAACAGACGATGCCCTATTGCTGTGTAAGACGCGGCCACTGGGAGCTGGTGATTTTGAAGAAAACATGAAAATCAATCAGCACATGTTACGATATGTAAGCGAGGACGTGTTTGAAGGAGAGATCTGATAAAAGACTGATGAATTTAGCCAATACATCCCTGTAAAGTGCCGTACAAATACAGGCTGGATTTCTCAGAGGAACGTGAACATGAATAAATCTGAAGTAATGAGTTTATATTCCTCCAGGAAACCCAGCTTTGTTGTGTATATACAGTTTTCTCCTGTGCCATCTGAAGGCTGTGTCCTGGTGCTACTGTGAGCTGTGCCAAAAATAGACCATCATGGTTTCTACTTTTTGGTTTCATGGAGTCTTCATTTTGTGATTTGATGACTGCTTCTGTCCTCTGTAACATCTCTGCACCGAACGTTACGTCTGGTTTTGTTTTTAGTAGAATAGCCCTGTTTAGGAAACAGGTTTTGTAATATTGCAGCATTTCTCTGTCTCAGCTGCAGGGGGCTCTGAAAGCTCTCTTAAGCTCTTCCTACTGTTCTTTACAACAATGATAAAATGTGTTTGTTAGGATGATTTAGACAGATAAGCCCTTGAAGGTCATATACTGTATATCACATGTGAGATCATGTTAGACTGCAACATGTTGAAAAATGCACTTTCTATGTCGTAAGTGATGAAACTATGAGACGATGGGAGAGACTTGAATGACTTGTCTGAGTGTGTGAGCGTCCTGCGTCTTCTCAGAGCCTCAGAGGACGTCGGACAGCAGCTGCGACCAGGAGGCACATGTGCTGCTGCTGCTGCTGCTGAAAGACTTGCTGTCACTGCTTCTGTGCATTTGAAGATATTTATGATCTTTTCAAAAATAGAAACAAATAAACCAAATGTGTGAAGTTAACAGTTTGTGTCATTTGTCCCTCAGGACTGGTCAGTGTGACTGTGGCGTGATGGGAATCTGCAAATCTGTACTTGAATGGTTTGGACCCTGCTTGTGGTTTAACATTTACATGATCACAACAGTATCCAGGTTTCTGATCCTCTACACTCTACTGGATTTAACTTTTCCATCTTCTGGAAAACAAGATTTACTGTATCCTCCAAATCACCAGTCAATGTTTTATTATGTCATTTACCATCATATTTTTGATTTACTGGCTTAATGCTATGTAACTTAAGTTGACAGCCCACGAGCCGATATTATCATTTCCCCCAACTCCCCTACAGTGAATTTACTTGAGTACTATACTTCTATACACTTCAACATACACGTCTTTATTTACTCCAATACATTACAGCTGCAGTTTCCATTTGCTTTTTATATTAACATTTTACATTAGAAACATAAAACTCTGAGAAATTTCACCAACAGTTTCTCTCTAGACGTGTAATGCAATTTTATCACATTACATTTTATCACATACATATTACATTTCATTTTCATTTCATAATTATACTGTGTGAAGCCTCAAATGGTCAAATCATAAAAATGTTCCTGCCCATGAATAAAATTAGTTTGTTCTTCTTTCCGTCTTTTCCATTAGTCAAATCTTATTTAGTGATTGTTTAGAGGGGCCCCGCTCCGAGGTTCGGAACCATTAGATTAAACAACTGAGCCACAGCATTGATGCATCAGCAGCAATAATCTAAATAAATGACACACAGTAGAGAACATTCCTCAACCAATGCCCAACATTTCCCAGATGAAACCACATTTGAATTCATAGATACAGAGTTTTACTTGGATCTGCACCAAATTGCACACACTCAGTCAACATGTCTGACTTTTTTCCTCAAGATCCATAAGTTATTCTCTGAGAAAGAAACAGAAATGTTGAAAAATGCCACCTCACAACGTGAAAGAAGGAGAAAACAAAATTGTAGATCTGCACTAAAATGAAATGGGTTCTTTCCTTTCTTTTCCTATTGGCAATATATGTTTAACTGTTATTTTGGTAAGTACAGTGGAGTTTGGACTTTTTCCATCAGTTTGTTACAGATAAACAAATGATGGCAGACTTTGACCTGAGCCTGTTGAAATCCAGGACGACCACTGGTCCCTCCACCAGAACGATCCAAGGTAGGAGCTATAGACTCGGTTGAAAATAAAGACTCCTGTTCTCTGGAGGTCTAATCTGTGTTCCATTTACTCTAACTGTGTTAGTGCATTAGTTAATTACACAATCTGTTCTGCCGCTGGGTCATGAGACAGTCAGAGCAGGTGATGTGTGTTAAGAGGCCGATATCATGTGAAACAACTGCGTGTGTGTGTATGGCAGACAATTAGTGAACTGTGGGAAGAGAGCTCTCTGAGATGTGCTGCAGTAACACCACAGTGTGACTAATGCCTTAAAGCTGCATCAGCTATTTCTGGCTATAAGACGATAGTTCGCAGAGAGTTTATACTTCCACTGAAACACTCTTTTCAACTCAGAGAGAGAGAGGAGGAAACATATAATGATCAAAGAACAGGTCATGGAATATTCATTTTCTCTTGGATGCAGTGTCGTAACTGAGTCACTAAACCACGTGTCAGAGTCAGAATCCAAGTCAACAAAGACAAGTCCAAATAGAGTCAGGGTGGGGGTCCCTGTTACCTGAGTCTCAGGTTAAATTTAAATTAATGCTGCAGTGAAAATCACCTAACCAATTAGAAATCGAAAGATTCACTTTCTTTAAGGCATTTGAATAATGCACTCGTTAATGTCAAAAAGATTTTGTTTTCAGACAGAAAATACGAAGCACCTTTATCAACACTCTGCCTTCTTTGGATCTAGCTGATCTGAAATTGTATTTTTACATTGATGATAATGTTTCAAATAAAAGGGACTGTCTCTCTTCCTCTGAATATATGTTTCCATGCACATTTGGTGATATTTGTTTTGTGTATCAGTGCAAATAAAAGCAAAGTGCATGACATCACATGAATAAATAATGTTACAGAGTTAATTATGGTTACAAATACACAAATGTCACGTAATAACAGGCTAATAAAGCCTAAACAACAACTAGGGTCCTCGTCCCCAACTTCGAGCTCCAGTCAAGTGTCTCTGTTAAAGGGTTTTGCACATGTAGAGTATTTTGCATGTACACTTGACCCCTGCTGCAGTGGAGGAGTTAATGAATTCAGATGTGAGTGATAATCAGTAACAGAGTATCAGGACTTAGTCATGATGACTGGACAACCACTGGGTCTGTTTCCATAGGACACGTCCTACATGCGAACACCTCTCATCACTCCTCTGCCTCTGCCTGTCCTCCGTCAGGTCCTTACAGCTGCAACATGAGCCACTTTGTGACTCTTCCAACAGGGCAGAAGATGCCCATGGTCGGACTCGGCACATGGAAGAGTGCTCCGGGACAGGTAGAACTACACACTCTTTCACAGGCTCTGTTCCTTCACACTGTTAAATCAGAACATAAGTGACTGACCCCAGTGGTTCTCAGGTGAAGCAGGCTGTGCTGGCTGCTTTAGACTGCGGGTACAGACACATTGACTGTGCTGCTGCGTACAGCAATGAACAGGAGGTCGGAGAGGCTCTGGCTCTGAGGGTCGGCCCTGGGAAGGTGAGGAGCTCTAATTATAACGATTTTACCTTGGAATCAGCCGCATCAACCGGAGGATCCAGAATCTCAGTTGTTTCAGAGCCTAAATCACTTATAGCTTGACGAGTTGTTGTGCATCTGTAGAAGTGTGAACCTGTCACTCAGCATTTTTTAAAACTGATATCCACCTGCTGTTCTATGTTAAGTTTATCCCACCATCAATTATATCAAATCTAATTTAAAGTACTCCCTTTTCAATCTTGCTTTTAATTCAGCTGGTATTTTGTCCTAAAATACTGTTAATTTTTTAATTATTATTTATTTCTATCTTTCTCTTTCTTTCTCTTGTGGCTTAAAGCTGCAGGAAAGCAATGAGATTATTTGGAACTTCATTTAGATGTTTAATGTCGATATCAGTTACTGACAGGTGACTATGTCCTCTGAGACTTAGGATTAACATGACAGTTAAGGTTAGAACTGGAGTGAAGCTACAGTCAGGATCAAGGTTTCTAGAGTCTCTAGAGATGCAGGAAATAGTTTGGAGACACATTTCTAGATTTATACTTTAAACACCTGAGAAATGAGCAAGCATTTACTCAATCAGACTATACCCACTTGTATATTTGTGTTATATGTTCCACCCCAGGTTCTTCTTCGTGAGGAAGTGTTTGTGACGTCCAAATTGTGGAACACCAAGCACGACCCAGAGGAGGTGGAGGAAGCATGCAGGACCAGTCTAGCCCACCTGGGTCTCTCCTACCTGGACCTGTACCTCATGCACTGGCCCATGGCATTTCAGTGAGCAGATCCACATAATGGGATTTTGTCTCCCTCTGGTTTTCACTGTGTGGCCCAGGATCAGTGTGAAGGTGAAATTATACACACACGTTCCCCATCTCAGTCCCTGAAGCAGCCCTCTGTGCTTTTATGCTTCAGGCCGGGGAAAGAGCTGATGCCTCGACGGGACGATGGAAGTATCTGTTACTCTGACACGCACTACAGAGACACGTGGGCGGCCATGGAGAGTTTGGTGGATAAAGGTTTGGTCAGGGCAATAGGACTGTCCAACTTCAATGCCAGGCAGACTGATGACATCATCAGCGTGGCCAGACACAAACCTGTGATGAACCAGGTACGATGTGAATCTCCCACAGGCCACAATAAACACATTTGTTTGGGCTTTGTTGACAACAGAAAACATGTAATAGTGAAAATTGTGTGTATCATTGTGCCACAGGTGGAGTGTCATCCTTATTTGTCTCAAGCTGATCTCCTGTCACACTGTCAGTGAGTGTAAAACCAGTTTAATCAAACTGGTATTTTCTTTTCTCTGTCCTAGCAAACAAAAATTATTCCCCCATTGTGTCAGTAACAGTGCTCGTACCTCTGCCTCAGGTCTGTGTCAGTGTGTGTGACAGCCTACAGTCCCCTGGGCAGCGGGGACAGACCCTGGGCCTCCCCCGATGAACCAAGTCTGCTGGAGGATCCTCGACTGGCAGCCATCGCCCAGAGATACCAGAAAACACCTGCCCAGGTCATTCTCAGGTGAGGCAGACCACAAACTAAAAGCCTCACACCGTTCTGTTGTAACTCTGGATTCATGTTACTTTACCCCCCCCCCATCCCATAATGTGACATCTGCAGGTGGCATGTTCAGAGAGGTGTGGTGTGTATCCCCAAAAGTGTGACGCCCTCCAGGATCCAGCAGAACTTGCAGGTGTTTGACTTTTTCCTGACAGATGACGACATGAAGCTGATTGAATCCTTCAATCGAAACGAGCGTTTCATCGTCCCGTCAGTCGAGGTGAGTCACTGATCTTGTGACACCTCACAACATTTCACAACTGCATATTCATCCTTAACAGACATCTCAGGCAAATAGGTTTGTTGCTGGAGTCACTGATCAGGGAGCATGCTGATAGATCAGACTGGTTTAGACTTCAGTGAATCTCTGCTGTTGTATAATTAATGAACTAATTGTATTTTTCTTCCACAGCAGGATGGTAAGAGAGTGTGGAGAGATGCAGAACATCCTCATTTCCCCTTCCATGATTCTTACTGAGCGCACCCCCACTGAGTACAATAGTTTGTTTTAATGATCATTGTCTCGTACAATAAGAATCCAATTTTTGCAATTAATTTTAAATATAATTTCCCTTGACTTCAATTTTTGGTAACATTGTTTTTTTCAGCCAATTCTTTACTTTAAATTGCAATGAACAATAAAGAGATTCTTACTTGGCCTGAGCGCCACTGTGTGGTCAGTAACAGAACTACCTCTACGCATGATAATGGTGCCTGCATGTTTCACTGAGACTAGACTCCTCAATAGCTATTAGAGGACCACATTACACTTCTAACTAAACGACTTAACATCTTTTAAAGGTCTTTACATTGTCAGGTCACATATTAATGCAATCAACCTGGTCTGATCCTATAGCCTAAGTCATACCACAAACATCACAACACCCTGATGAACCGTGTGATTCCAACCCAACAACTTCACTTTCTATAAATGGAATCTCTATCCCAACTGTCGATCAAATCAAAGACAAGGAATGTATGTTAACTATGTGTCAATAAAGAAATTCAAAAGCAGACATTGATAACGCCCTCCATTTCGTGAGATTTTATTTTCAACAACATAACCTTGACAAATTTGTAATACATTAAATGCTACTGTTTATTTAAAAAAAGAGGAAGTCATTAGCAATATGTTTTTCTTTTGTTTTATGGTCGAGCATAGAATCCCGTCACTAAAGCCATTCATGTTGGTTGTGATATACTGAGAATGAGGCCACTCAATAAACCCCCCCACACCCCCAGAAACCCCTCCTCCCACCCCACAGAACAAAAAAAGTAAAGAAAAAAAAACAAAAAAATAACTGCAGTCACTCACTCACCTTCCATTTTCAACATCCCCTAACCCCCACCCACATCAAAGCCAGGGCAAACCAAGCGGTTACATGCTTTCTCTGAGGGAAATCATACAAAAAAAAAAAAAGGAACACATGAAAGAAGCACAAAGTCCTAAAAATGTGGAATCTGGTGAGAATTTGTACAGGTGTGATCCCGGTACTGTTGGGCAGTGTACATTTATCCATAAAGGTCATCGTCGACGTCTTCATTGAACACTGGACCACTGCCAGTTCCTCCTGTGCCATGGGTTGGACCGCTGCCGCCTGCAGTACTGGAGGGAAACCTGAAAGACAGAGGAGTGTCATTAATCTATTTTAAACATGGAGATTATCCTGAGATACAACAGCTCCCATCATTTCAGACTGATTTCCTTCTTAGATGTTTGGAGTAATCAGTTTTCTGTGGTCAACGCCAAAACTGACATAAATCCATTGAAAAACATTTTCATACAGCAGATTAGGGCTGGGCAACAAGAGAAAATCAATAATTATCACAACATGATTTTCATCAAAACCAATATTACAAAAATTCAATACGCAGGGAATATTGATATAATGCTTTAAAATTGTTCAAATGCAGTGAGGAGGTATAACAATTTATTTATTAACCTCAGATTTGTAAAATGTTTGTCAATTTCTGAAATAAAGAAGAGTTTAAAACCACAACCTTCCCCTACAAGAAAAGACTGATCTTTAAACTTGAGAAATAATGTGATATTTAATAACAGTGACTGATATTAAAATATTTATCTATATAATTTTGGACAAGTCAACTGGCTCCACAGCAGATTATGTTCCAAAATCTCTTTAAAGATCATGTACCCTTCTTATTTCACTCTGCTGCAGTATGAGCATTAATCAAATCACATCAGGTGTAAACATGCCATATTTACACGGTCTGATTTTACTTAAGCTTAGAAACAATTACTGACACTTTAACAAAATATCTGAAAAAGTACCTGAAGCTGCCAAAGCCACGGCTCTGCTGCAGTGTCTGAGCAAACATCTCATATTTGCGGATGTCATTGTCACTGACGGAGCGACGGGCAAATCGCATAGCCTCCTCAAAGTGGTCCTTCCTGATCTCTGGCACAGGGTCGTCCTCTTCCACCTCCTATGAAAAGAAAGTGTCACGATCATGAAAAAGACCAGAAGTGGAGCAGTAGTGTGCAGATCCTCATCAACAAGGGAAAATGTTCGAACCATAGCTGACGGGTTGGTCTGCCTCTCCCTCTCTCGGCGGATCTCGTTCTCGATGCTCTCTCTAATGGCGAGCTTACACGCCCTCTGGCAGATCTCTGTAAGGTCAGCTCCAGAGAAGCCGTTGGTCATCTTGGCAAGGAAGTCCAAATCCACATCCTATCAAACAAAAGAAATGTAAGGTACAAGTTTGGACTGTTTGTTTTTTTGTTTTTTTATTCTGTTCTTATTTATCAGAAAATAACCACTGTGACTTTGTCTACATGAGACAGTTATGGATTTCTTTTTTTTTTGCTGAATGTCTCAAGGATGAGTTCAGAATCAACTTGATCTTAGAATCCAACAAATATGGGGAGTATTTGACAGCTGACTAAAGTAAACATTTCATTACATATCATGGTAGCAAAGACACTGCATCATAACTAATGCTTCACCTTGCTGATGGGACTCTTGCGGAGGTTGGCCTTCAGGATGCTCATCCTGCTCTTTTCGTCAGGCAGTGGGATGTAGATGAGCTGATCCAGACGGCCAGGTCTCAGGATGGCGGGGTCAATGATGTCTGGTCTGTTGGTGGCTCCAATGATGAAGACGTTCTTCTTGCTGGACATTCCATCCATCTCGGTCAGGATCTGGTTGATGACACGATCAGCTGCTCCGCCACCATCTCCCACATTGCCACCACGAGCCTTGGCTATGGAGTCCAGCTCATCGAAGAACAGAACACATGGGGCTGCTTGACGAGCCTGGAGACATAACACAGACACACAATATAGTCAATATAGAGCAAATAGTCAAACAATATAGGGCAAATAGTCAAATTGGCTATAAATATTACAGATTGTGTAACAGTCTAAACTCTTAAATTCTCACCTTGTCAAAGATCTCTCTGACATTGGCCTCAGACTCTCCAAACCACATGGTGAGCAGCTCAGGCCCTTTGATGGAGATGAAATTTGCCTGGCACTCATTGGCGATGGCTTTGGCCAGAAGAGTCTTACCACAACCAGGGGGACCATAGAACAGCACACCCTTGGATGGGGTCATGCCAAACTTGAGGAACTTGTCTGGGTGCTCCACTGGGTACTGGATTAGCGAAGAAGGGGGTAAAAAACAGTAAGTGACACAATCTTAATCTGACATTTTGTGGTTCACAAGTTTTAGACATGATCTCACTTCATACCTGCACCAACTCCTGCAGCTCCCTCTTGACATCCTCCAGACCTCCGATATCCTCCCAGGTGATGTTGGGGACCTCAACAACTGTCTCCCTCAGTGCTGATGGGTTGCTCTGGCTCAGGGCCCACTGCAGAACAGAGTTAAGCGAGTCAGTATTAACCCAGAATATCTTTACACACTGTTGCACCATCCAACTATCACCCCATAGCAAATACTGTATTACAAGTCTTACCTTGAAGTCATCCATGGTGACAGCAAGCGAGTTCATGACCTCAGCATCAATGGTCTCATCCTCAAGGTCAATCAGGTCCATCTTCTTCCTGATGGCCTGCAGGGCAGCCTCAGAGCAGAGGGCAGCCAGATCTGCACCCACATGTCCATGAGTCTCATTGGCGACCTGTATGAAAAAAGGAAACTCAATATCTCTTGACAACGTCCATATTCAATGCGTATAACACTGACTCGTGCAGAATTTTAGATTCTATAAAATAGAATTACATGCAATTTCCACTGTAGTTTTTATTTGGAAGTGATAGACAAACAATAACATGACCCCGCCTCTGATTCAAAGGAGCAGTGTGTGGTGAAGAGTCATGTGACTGCCGGAAAAGATGTGTGTACAGACCTGTTCTAAGTCAACGTCATCAGCCAGCTTCATGTTCTTGGTGTGAATCTGAAGAATCTCCAATCTGCCAGTGGCGTCAGGAATGCCAATGTCCACCTCCCTATCGAAACGACCTGGACACAGAGGGGGGGGGTTCAAACACATACTTAGTACAGCAATATAACACAAACTTTAAAGAACCACCTGCAGGAATGTGTTGTCTCATATGTAATAGTCTGGCAACAGAAGACTGGTGGTTACAGCTTTCAAAAGTTACCAGCTAAGTATCTACCAATTTAATACTTAAACAAAATCCATTGCTGATCCTTTGTCAAAGCTGTCAGACACATCCAATCATAAGCCTTTAAAGCTGTGTAGCTGCATTGTGAGAAAGTGACCCACTGGTGAACTGCAGAGTCCACAAAATAAACAGCAGCCAGTGGTTTTAAGCAGCGACATGACAACATGATTTAGTGAAACACGCAAGCAGACCAGTGACATTTCTTCGTAGGTGGCACAAGACCAGTGAATCGGTTGGTTTAAAATCACAGTTTACTTTGTTAGTGACAAACACTTTCCTGCTGAGGAAATAAACCACTAGAAAAAAAAAAACTATTATAAAGTAGGGATAATCAACAATTTAACATAACATTGGTTAAGTCTTAAATATAGGTCTTCTGAGGGCTATGGGTACACTGTGCAGCTATGGAATGCAAAGACAAATACAAATTTTACATCTGAAAGTCTAACAAAGACTATTGCTGAATATTCTTTATTGAACATAACCTGCAGGAACGATGCAAAAACAAAAACAGTCACTGATCAGTGGTTGATTTTCCTCTTGATGTCTGATACTAAAGTCACCGAGTAGATGCTTAAAACAAATAACTTACCAAATCTCCTCAGAGCTGGGTCAATGCTGTTGGGTCTGTTGGTGGCAGCCATGACGATAACATGAGCTCTCTGTTTCAGGCCGTCCATTAGAGTAAGCAGCTGAGAAACAATGCGCCTCTCCACCTCTCCATGAGTCTACAAATAGCACAACATACATTCACATCTGAAACTCGATCCAAGCATTAGTGACATGGCTAAATTTCAGTACTTTGTCTGGGGATGAGGATGGAAATGAAACAAAAAGTCAAGTTTGCCTTTCAAAATGACAAACCATGAAAATAAATCTGAGATAAGACAATTTTCATATACAGTATTACATTAAAATAGACATGGACACTTTTATTCAGCTATCCATTTCGTTTTCCTCTCTTCCCACTCACCTTCTCTCTTTTGGGAGCAATTGCATCAAGCTCATCGATGAAGATGATGGCAGGGGCATTCTTCTCTGCTTCCTCGAAGGCCTTTCTCAGGTTACTCTCGCTCTCTCCTGCCAGCTTGCTCATGATCTCAGGACCTAGAATGGCGATTAAAACATTATGATTTTATGGGAAACCTCATGGAATATACTAGAATCAACTATCACAAGATAAACCACTATACTATCTTTAAACTAGTAATAGGCAGGCAGGGTTTAGAATGCGTACAATACACACATGGCAAAAACTGGTAAACATTACCCCAGGCAACAAAATATATCTCTATTTGACAATAGAACTTAAACGTGAGCTGGAATCCATGCAGCTTCATGAAAACAATCAGAAAAATGACTAACAGCACTTGAGTATTGCATGTTACTTATTACTTGCTGATGTATTTTTGACTCTTGCTGCTGTAACTTTTTGGGACCAAGAAAGGACTTCTTATCTTACAGAAGATAAATATACAGGGAAATTCTCACCATTGATCAAGAAGAAGAAAGCTCCAGTTTCATTGGCCACAGCTCTGGCAATCAATGTCTTTCCAGTTCCAGGGGGTCCGTACAGCAGGATTCCACGTGGTGGCTGAAACGGGGAGAACACAATTATTATTATTTTTTTTTTAATCAGGGCTTAATGTACAATTACACACATTTCGTATAAGACAAAACGTGCTATTTTTTATTTTAAATTTACAGTAGCTTGTAAAATTCCAAAGAGAAGGCCAAACCCTTCATTTATTGCCAAAGACAGGTGCCGTACCTTGACTCCAATGGCCTTGAACAGTGCAGGGTGTCTAAGAGGCAGCTCCACCATCTCTTTGATCTGAGCTAACTGCTTCCTCACGCCTCCAATGTCATCATAGCCCACCTCATTCAGGGACTCTTCCTCATCCTGCATAATTCAACACATGTTTAAATTTCCATTTCTTTTTGGTCAATGTTGCCTGGTGCACTGTTCCTGCTACCCACCTCTCTCCTGATTGGTTCTCCCTCACAATGGATGACTGTATCAGGGGCAACGATGCAGTATGGGGAGGGATCAGTCTCCACCACCTTGAACTCCACAGCACGCATGCCACCTCTGACCAGAAAAATATCACCTTCACAAGGTAAAAAACAACACTGTTAATTTTTCCGCAAAGAGAGCCACAGGGTGACATACAGATTTAATCATCAAGGGAAATAAAGATCTTTCTCCTGAAAACAGAAAGTTGTACTCACCTTTGCGGATTGGCCTGTAAGCCTCCAAAAAGTATGGCTTCAGGTAAACCTCAAACAGGTTGCCAGTAATTCCTTCTACTGTGTCATCGATTGGGAGGACGTGGATCCTCTTTCCGTACTTCACATCGGGACATGGCTGAATGCTGAGGGAGGGAGGGAAAAAAAAGAGAGAGACTTAGCATGACTTCAGTTTTAAAGGACCTTGGAGAGAACTCAAGACAAGTGTGTGCTTTTCCCCACCTGATGACATCACCCAGACGGACCCTCAGATTGTTGCGGACCACTCGGTTCATCCGAACCTTTTCATCAGAACAGGTGTCATCAGAGAGCACGATGCACACAGTCTCCCTCCTCTTCTTTCCCTTCATCAGGACTGTGTCTCCACGGAAGAGCTGCAGCTCATCCATCTTGGTCTTAAGACACATTAAAGAAAGCAATTACAACCTCGCCATTAAAGCATTTAAGATTTTATAATACAGGACAAGATGGAATATCCCTGGTACATTTGAAGGTCTTATGCACAATTTAAGTTACCAACAAACAGTAGATGTTAGCAGGTGGTAACGACTCCCAGCAGATGATAGGAACATAACTTCAGTTGCACAACTTAGTGTCTTAGGCTAAAGGTAAACCTGACTGTCTATGGGCTTGTATAGCAGTACGATAAAAGCCATGTGGCCCGCTCAGTAGATCAGACATCATTACCTCTGTGCCATTTTAAAAGAGGAAGAATATCCCTTGTATGTTCTACTGCACTAATTAATGCCTTCCACCGGTTGATGTTACCAGATATTAGTGCAGATATCTGCAGTTGTGTACCTTAATCATGAATTAAAAAAATAGGGCATTACAATATACAATGTGAGCTATCACCCATCATGGCAACATTGATCGTAATTTTAGTTTCGTGTTCTTCCAAACACCAGATGAAGGCTGGGAATTTTGCATGAGGGCAACACAAACAAACGCAATATAGAATGCGTTAAATGTAATCTGGTGGAGGACCCTGCAAACCATGACAAAACAAGGAGCCAATACCAAAAACAGGGGCCACCTCTATCATGTGGATGCAGTTTGAGTATGAAAACTGATCAGAAAGCGATACTTAAAATTATGCCACATTTTATTTCCCATAACAGCTCGTGTCAAGTTGAGAGCTCAATATAAACCTAAAACTAAGTCATTGAAAGAGGTTATTTTACTTGTGAAGATATTGCCCCTATTTACAGATGATATTAACTTTGATTTTGGTCATATCGCACAGCCCAGGTGTCCAAACACTGCTGATCCATCCAGCCATGGACAAAACCCTTCTGTTTACCTGAGAGAGAGACACCACGCTGTTGTCTTCATTGATGGATTCATCAACAATCAGTCTGTTGGGTCTGTTCTTCTGTTTCAGAATTGCAGTGGCTAGATCATCATTTTTGGATCTACAATGATGAGACAATGAGAAAAACTTAGACATTTCATACACCCAGCTCTGCAATTGGAGGGGGAAAATTAAATGAATGGAATAAAGATAAAGCTTCACTCCTAACATGTTCAACACTAAATTGATGCAAGGTTTGATAACCTCACTAAATATACCCATAATGAACCAAGTTTAATTTCTTACGTACACCTTAGGGAAAACTGAACAACCCTTTGTTGAACACCAGGACAGCTGTCAAGGGGTCATATGATGAAGTCCTTACCCACTTAGGTTAAATAAATAAAATCACATCGCACAACAGGCTGAGACAGAGGTCCGGCACAGTTTGTACTTTATTGTGTGTTTGTTCTGTTTGTGTTTTGTTATGCTTTGTACATGTAGTTCTTCTGTATTGTACTGAACTTTTTTATTATTTTACATAATTATTATAAAGCCTATTTTGGGAATGAGTTAAATAAATGACCGATATGGTAATTATTTAATTATGGTAATATTCATTTTTCTGTAGTATCCCTACATTATTAACAATAACTAACAATCAAACGTGTATTTGTGTGCCCTAAAGTCAAAACGCGTCCTTTACGTAATTTTCCATAACAATGCCTGAACGTTACAATAGAGGAATCATCAATGATGCCTTGATTCTAAAAGCCTCTGAATAACAAACCTTGATTTTTCTAGAAAAGTCCCCGTTTTGTAGTTTCTCTTTCGTGTTGATAGCATGCTAACGGTAGCCTGTAAGCTAACATAATCGCGAGCAAGCGAGCCCAGATGACACAGCAAAAGAATTAGAAAAAAAACTTTGTTGGCTAGCTAGGCTGCCCTTTAGAATGACAAACGCTCCAATTCTACAGTAATAATACACACATTTACTGCCAACGTGACCGTCGACTAAATATTAATTAGATGTCTTTAATTCACGACTGTTTAGCTAACAGCGAGATGGAGCACAAGTAAATTCTCGATCCTTTAAAATGAATAGCCAGCCACCCGTTAGCCTGCTAGCTTTGGTGCACTGTGGCCATAGACAGATCGCTGTGGAGTGAGCCGTCTTACTGACTAGCGTTTTGTTTCGTAAAGCCGTTAGCCTGTCGTCTGTTTGTGGCATGTGCTTTATTTATTTCATCCGATGTAACATCCAGCTTCAACACGAGCCATTAGCCGACGGCTAGGCCAACTTGTCGGTGTGACGGTGGATGGCTTTGGCCTTGACAGCGTTGCTAAGCTAACGTTAGCATTCTAACACGACAGCAATGACTGCGCTTTGTCAAGTCGCTGTCACACAGCTGGCTAACTAACCACCGTTACCCGACCAGCGACAACAGTTTAAACAAATGTCAACAATTCATCGGGATTCAAACCAGGTGTCAGTGAGACTGCAGTATTAGCTAATTCAATAAAAGGACGAAGTGCGGAGGCTGGAGTGGCTGACCCCATTAGCTCCCCGGCTAGCAAACTCGGTAATGTATTAGCAATCGAGCTACCTTTAATAGACTCACGTATGACGCTGGCCACTTAAAGGATATCAACTCACAAACACGTATTTTCATTAAACGGGTGTATATTTGTACTTACTCCCCTCCCGAGGCCATGGTCGTCCACCTGGAATACTATTAATAAATAAAGTCTAAATGTTTGTGAAGCTTCACCGGTTCTCGATTCACAACGTTCTCCGTGATTTCACACGAAAGAGAGCAGCCGTTTCCGTGCTTTTCTTTACAGTTATACCGTGAACTGCATGCGTCCCGCGCTCTGATTGGCTGGAGGCTGTCCGACAACTTCACCAACCAACCAAAGAATGTGCTGTCGGTCGTCACCGAGAATATTTAGCGGCTTCAGCCAATTACAAACGAGCGGGGGTGTTACAAGTTTCGTCAACTTTTCTTTCATTGGTCCGTCACAGAACTTGAGTCGCCCAATTGACGTCTACCGCGTTGGTACTGAAGGAACGTGAAAACATGAAATTAGTCAACTCCAATCTGGATGTGAACAAATGTAGTGTGTGTGGACCTGTGTGAACGAACCATTAAGTTTTATTGATGAAAGAAATGCATAAAAAGAGCAGAAACACAGTTTGTCTATCTTTTACTGTACTTTAATCTGTATGATCTATAGTATATACACATACAATATTTAAAACATACATCTTATATAACAGTCAAGCTGACTCTTGCATTCCCAGCATACATTTTTCTTTTAATAAATCAGTTTACATCTTCAATAACCCACCTACTTTACATGTCTAGTTCTCTTATTATCATTATTCTTATCTTAGCCTCCGTCACCCTTTCTCCCTTAAAGACTTCACAATATACTTTCTTCCACTGTCCTTGTAGATGCATGTTAGTTGTGGGCATTGGTTTCAGTTCACAGGGCAGAGAAAGTTGATCCTGTTCAGTAAGCGATAGGTGCGTTCGTCATCTGTGTCCCTCTCTCCACATTGACTAGGTAGGACCAAGCGTCTGTATTCTGCACCGCAGCTCTGTGGAGTCCAACAAAGGGCCGGTCTGGGGTTCCAGTAGGTACAATGGAAGACCCCTGCAATGCAAAGGGCAAGCAAAGACTTAGAGGAGAGTGACATCAGAGCGTAGGGAATGTGTTCTACTTAAAGAAACAACAAATTAAACTAGCTTGATTAAATGTTTTAATTTGTGGTGTCAAAATACATTTCAGTTGAGTTCTTCTGTGGGAAATGTGTCATCTACTGAGGAGAAAAACACATTAACAGATGGCCACTTGCGAGAGAAAAGGATTGCAGTCCCTTTTTGGTGGACAGTCCAAACTGAAAAACTTGCAGCTGAAATTCAAATAAGGGTTCCTTATTATATATACTGTAGGTATTTTAACGATGTATGCAGTGGAATGTGGCAAACCACTACAGAGTCTGCATTTCTTTGTGTTAGACCACATCATCTGATCTAAACATACATATCTGTGTTCATGTTACCTGGTGATGACGTTTCCCTTCATATTCACAACAATGAAGGTAAACAACATTATTCAATACTGAACACTTAATTGTTTTTGCTGTAATTTTAACAGAACACTGTCGACAATAGCTTTTGTGAAAAAAGGATAGAACTTTTTTTTTGTGTGAAGTCATTTTATATGCAGACTAGGTTAGTTACACAATGCTTCAGTGTGATTGGGGAAGCGTCTGTGTTCAACTCACTCGACACATGCATGGTCACATGATTTCCTGACCACCTGTGTAGTCTGTACAATCAAATGCATGCAGTGATGCACAAAAGAAACCAGGTCACCTGAGATGCATTTTTATGAACAGGACCTAAGCGTACACTTTGTATACACCACAAAACATAAACCACAAAACTAATGGAGATAGTGAATTTGGAATGACAGAATCTTACTCCACTGATGATTGTGTGGCGAAGCTCCAGGTCTTTTCCCAACAAGCTGCTGCCTCCTGTCTTCTGCCAAGCCTCCACAGCACTTCACCACACCACAGGCCTGCACCTACACACTCTGAGACAGCACATAGAGCATGATGACGTGGTCTTACAATGGACCACCACACAAACCCAACACAGATTCACTACTGTCCTGTGGTGCATCCATGTCAATACCAACAGTTCTTAGCTCATACATGAGGACAAATGGAGGTGATAAGTCTTTAAACTTGAATGCAGAAGAGGTGAAGATCATAGATACAGTTTGTTTTACACATTTCTAACTAGCAGCTCTTTAATAAAGAAAAGAGACGATTTGAAGAACATTGGCATCACTTTCAGATAGTTCTTCTGTGCAACCACTGCTCAAATCAACAGACATTTATTTAATTTCTAATTTGATGTGAATACCTTACCCAATATTTCAATAATCAATATACTCAACAAAAAAGACTCATAATATACTGAATGATTTTGAACAGGGAAAATAGTTTATCTGAACTTAAAATTACCAACAACAAAACACATGTAACATGTTGTGGGTTGTATCATGTAGGTGGTAACAGTTATGCATATGCCGAAAGTATTTGTGTATGACTGACCTTAACTTCCCTCACTATGATCAAGACACTGTACCGATTTCAAAAATCCCGTGTCTAAAACAGCTTCAAGCTCTGCATCAACATACAGCTGTGTTACATATACTGTACCTGGGAATGCCTGCAGGCTGAGCAGGAGGTCCCTCAGTGCTTCTCTCAGTCTGTCTGTCTGCGTGAAGCCGATACCCCTACCAGCAAGTGAAAGCCCCTTCAGCCTTTGGAGAATACACAGATCTGTTCCCTGCTTGTCAACCATGTCTGCACTGGGGATCTGTGGTTGGAAACCTGGAATTGACCATCAACAGAATAAAATGGATACATCAACAGTAGCTGGAGGTTTTGTAAAAAGGGTTAATTTCTCTAAAAATCCTCAATAAAGTCAGTAAAGTACGAACCTTTCTTTTTAAAGTGGACCTTCACCAGCAGGTTGATACACCTGAAATGCAGAATACAATGTTACAGTGTGTGTTGGTTTACTAATATGATCATTTTATGACTGAAAAAAAAGACAGAAACCTTGTGTAGTGAGTCACAGCTTGTTTCCAGTCTTTTAGGTGAGTGTGGCAGTGACCCTGCAAGAGGTAGGCAGCCCCAGCCCAGAGCAACATCGCCATCTTATCTTCACCCTGTGCACTCACATCCCTGGTCTCAGTCTTACTCGTCTCCTCTGGTTCCTCCAACACCAGCCTCTCTGGCAGCAGTTCCAGTGTCGTGTTGATGACCTCATTGCAAAGCGCCATGGAATCGGCAGACCGCCGGGCCATGAGCAAGGCAGCACCTCCCTCCAGGTAAAGCTCAGGCAACCTGGGGAGAGGAGGACCTTCAGCAGAGACCTAAAAAAAGACATACCGCAAACAGATGTTAGTTCAAATCTTCCATAAGGAAAATACATTACGGCTTCTAACAATTGAGCATGCACAAAAAACTATTCCGAAGTGCATTAACCTGCATGTCTGTCAGTGTTTTTTCTCTTAGTCCATGTTGATGTTCAGAGTGAAGAGCTGCCAGCAGGTCCAAATAATACTCCACACCCTCTGACACCCTGCAGAAACAGCAACCACACCCATTAACAACCACTGTGCTCTCAATGAGTCTGTCCGGTTTCATGGCCACAAAAAGTAAGAGACAGAGACTTCAACCTGCATGCTGGCCTTCTCACCTCTCATGGAGCACACACATCAGTGCCAGATTGTGAAGGACGGAGAGGGCAGAGGGAACTGACAGTAGGCTGCTCAGTGATTGGCTGCAGAGCAGTAAGGACGGAGAGAGCAGTTGGGTACCGGCCAGAGCAGGCCCTGTAGCAGAGGGCAACATCAAAGTCTGTGGGACAAGGGAGGTTGTTATGCTTCAATAAACATGTGAATATGGGTCAGGCAATGCAGCTTTTTCAAACAATAATAATTAAAAAAATATCTACAAATGTTTAGAATAATTTTTTGTACCCACTCGTATGTATATGTAAAACGTGTGTTACTCACTGAGTGCAGCAAGCGCAGAGCTTGTATTTCAGCCTGTGCGTTGCCCAGCTGTCTGTAGATGAGCATGCTATGGTACAGAGCACACACACAACATGAGTCAGTTTCCAGCGCCTTCCTGTAACACTGCAGTGCCATCTGAGGGCAGCTCTGGAGATAAAACCAAACACACACATATCACACGTACATTTTTGACACGTTATTCCAATCCTGCGCGCGATGCATGATATTACTGTGATAGAATTAGTATTTTGAATGTACCTTGTGGGCGAGGCAGGAGCCTGAGAGGAAGTGTACGTATGCTACTAGAGTTCTGGGGGCTGACAGGGAAGAGGCTTTCTGCAGACCAGACAACGCTTCTGAACTCTTACCCTCACTCAGACTTTCAGCTCCTTAATGAAACAAACATAACACAACAAAACACAAGATTAAATACTCAATACCATGGTCATATGGTTTTTTAAAAATAGTTTAAAGAGTTTTCAGGATTAAGAAACCATCTGGGTGCTTGCATCCTCAATTTACTCATTTCTCACAGGCATTCAAACACAACACAGCAGTTTGGATACAGATCATATACTGTCTGTACAATGACCAAGTTTATTTGCTCTTACAAACCTTTGGTTGCATCTGGGCTAATAAAGAGTAAAACTTATACCAAGATAAACCAGAGCAGAAATCAAACATAAACTCTATGTTTTTAACTCATTAACGGTCCAGTGTATAAGATTGGTGAAAGGGGAAAGGGAACTATTGGCAGAAATTGAATGTAGAATAATCCTCATGATGTTTTCACTATGAGAATTAAAGGCTACCACAGGTTCTTTTTCATGTCTGGAAGGGGAGGGTGAGGTGAGGGGTGTTCAGCTGCAACATGCAATTTCAACACTAGATATCACTAAATTCTACACACTGTACCTTTAACTCTATGTTTACAAGTCTCTCATTTTAGTGTGGTCACAAAATGACTGTATCTGATAGGTCAATCTGCACTGATCAAAAATAATGAATGCTCCAGACCTTGTGCAATAAAAGTGCAGATCTGCAATAATTCAACAAGCCGTCTTGGGTCTGTCACCAATTGTGGAACATCAGACTTTCCTTTTTCCCCATCACTCCTCTTGTCATCCCCATCTCCATTACGTAGCATCTGAACTAGAGAGGACAGCTCCTCCTGCATCACAGGAAAATAATATAGTAGTTTTACACATTT